CCAAGGACTACAAACTTAAAAAAAACTAAAATCTATAATTTTTAAATACATTTTTAGTGTTAAGTATCTAAACAACGTCTGCAAGAAGAAGTTAGGATCTTATCTTCAACTCAAATTAGTGACAGAAAGGATTTTTTTTCCCATCTCTTTCCACCAGTGTTTAATGAACCTATTTGGATATGCTGTGACACACCTCGAAGGGACTTGCCTGATCCAGAAATAGTGACACTGCAACTGCACCACAAAGTTCTCTTAGCTCTTAAATGAAGTATAATTCCACTCGTACAATTATTTATCCAGAAATTCACTGGTGGCTGATCACCTGTGAATGATTGGGTAGCGAGTAGGAAACAGCAATAAAATGTTCCAAATCAGTGCAGACCACAGAGAATGTCCTTACAAAGATTGTGATTGAAGATCACTTTTGAAGGGTTGATTTGAGTGTGTCATGAAATTGCAAAACTCTTTCAAAGCATTGGTGCTCCTAGGGCTATAGATTGCGTCAGAATCAGAAGCATAAACTCATTGCCACCTCCCCAAAACAATGTTTAAGACAAATTCCTGAACGCATACGAATACCCGGGCTGAGGACGAACTTTTCGCATAAGAAATAGAAAGCTATTGGAAGTTTTACGGAACAACAGGTGGAAAATGGAATGAATCGTGTTTTTCCTCTGAAAATAATCACTTTATTGACTGATCCTTATGTTGACATGATGTAACAAAAATAAGTTCAGAAATCAATTGGCATTTTAGTCAAGGAACGCTTCTTCGGTTTTAGGAAATTCGTTGCGTGTCAACGAGCACAATTTCCCGTATTCCCGGGGATTTAGGGAAATCCCACAGCAAAAGAAGTGGAAATCATTGCCACACAACGTGTCATTGAACAAGAATTCGAATTTCGATCTGAATTGACTGACAGCGCAGACGTCACCGCCCAAGAGGCGGAAAGTACCGTCACGTGATCATTTCACTGACCACATACACAAAACTCAATTCCAACGGTCTTCACGGAAACAGGGAACTGTAAGCAAATACGGCAAAACAAATAATTAAAAAAGTTACACGTACGACTGCAAGAAATTAGACGAGTGTCCGACTCATGTGCCCCCCCACTTCAATACCCGTTGCCCCATCCGGGCTCGCTCTCAGACCAATGACATCATGGTTGCTAAGGGCGGGACAGGACCGCGCGGCCGTGTCTTTAGTCACGTGGCTCCACCACAGCGCGCTACCATTGGTGGGTGCCGGCGAGTGATGACGTGTCGCGGTCGCCTTCCTCCTCTCTCTCCCCCCCTCCCCCGTTGTTGTCAGGAGAAGTGCAAGATTGTCACTGAGCGTCCATGTTTCTTCGTGCTGTTTATAAATTGGAGTTGGCCCTTTACTCTTTGCCTGTTATTAAACCCAGCCAGCGGCATATACACGCAGGGATATATATATTTCTTGCGTTGGGAGGAGAGCTAGAGTCTGAGGCAGGAGGGTTTTGCGAGTGAGCGAACAATCGCAGGAAGTCGCTTCAGTGTGGCCGCCATTTTCACTCAAAACTTTTTTTAATCCGACGAGTTGTATTTATTATCTGTGGAGGTAGGCCGGTGATTCTCCTCTTTCCCCGGACCCAGCTCCGTCCCTCCCTCGCTTCCCAACAGTTACTTTGGAAGAATTAGACGTTTTTGGCGTTGCATGGTGACCGCCTTCTTAGTTGGACCTCGTACCTCAGATGCTGAACTCGGGATTTTAGCCAGAAGTCGGAAGCGGAGGAAGAGGCGGCGGCAAGTCCCCATGCACCCGTTACCCCTGCCCCGACCACCGCCAGGCCCTCCGCCCGTCAGTGTAGCCTCAAAGACCGTGGTTGTGAGCCGCCACCGTCACCCGCACCCCAACCAGCAGCAGCAACATCCCCAACAGCATCCCGGCAAGGCTGCCGCGGTGAGTCGAGCCTGGAAGATTCGCTGCTCTTCTTCCGCCGCGCTGCTGCAGAGACATACTCACGGGCGGCCGGCTTCCCGAGGCGGCGGGGCTGGAGGGCCCGCGCCGGCCACCGGGACCGAAAAAACGACACCAGCCAGTGGCGGCTGCTTGACCGCGGAAGAGCGCAAGAAGGAGGGAAAGGTGAGAAACAAGAAAGTTGGTGTCTCTACGTATCTGCCCAGCATCCCACTATTTAGAAATTAATAAAGGGGAGGGGTTAAGCGGGAAACATTCGTCGTTCTCGGTTAGTAGTCCTGGCCTCGCCTTCAGGGCGGGAAGGGCCCTGTTTAAACGCTACGGCCGTTCGACAGCTGTCACGCCGCGCGCCCTCCCCTTTCTCTCCTCGCCCACCCCAGCAACAAGTGGCCAATCAGCATACTTCATCCACCGACCAATGGCGACAGAATCAGCCGTTCCCCAGGTGACGGTTCACGATGTTCGTGCCTCTTCCGGGTTTCGGGGGTCAGTGCCGGGACTTCTCGCTTCGCAGGTTGTCAAAGCTCCCTCTCCGCTCCTTTTCTTCTCTTTCCCCCTGGCCACACCCCCCTACCCCATTCCTTAACTATGGTCGTGAGGTACAACGAGAAGAGTTTCTTTGTAGGATGATAGGAGCTCGATAAACGGGAGACTACCAAGCTGATCTTAATCGTTTTTTGTTAGATTGTCCAGTTTCGCAGATAACGGTATAATAGGGGGAATTCTCCACTGGGGCATTTACTAGCAACGTAGAAAAACTTTGCGGCTGTTAGCTCTGTTGTCAAATTTTACAACCTTTCTCTTTTTTTGTTTTCTATCCCAGGTGACCAAATCCAACATGGGAAGATCGGATAAAGCAACAATTCCCCACACACAATTCATGTATAGTGTAAATAAAACAGAAGAGTACTGCCAACCCTTAAATACCAAGAAAAGAAACAGACGTAGCCTACAGTTGAGAAAAACCTCAATAAAGAGGAATGAAAACAGCCATAATCAGAATGCTCCATCTGTTGAACACTGCAATACTCTCAAAAAAGATGCAGAAAAACCAATTGTTTCTGCACACCACTCAAAGAATCTAAAATTACTGAAAGTTGGTCTGAAGTCTGTGCTGAGCCTTCAAGGAGATCAAAACTATGCTGGGCCAAAGTTTAGTGAGCCGCCATCACCCAGTGTTCTACCTAAACCACCCAGTCATTGGGTAGGAGCACATGCTGAGTATCCTGATGAGAGTAAGGAAATAATGACTGTCCACTTAAAAACTTTACTGAAAGTTAATGCGTAACTCAAGAGTAGTTTAAGTTAACTTAAACATTGTACTAGAGGAAAAAATTAAGGATGTTTCTGTCAGGATTGGACTTGTTGCAGCAGAAAGTCCTGCATTTTAGACAATTGTAACTTCCTCCTTGTGATTTTGGGATAACCGTATGCAAGTGGTGCTAGTAATGAAGTAGGATTCTGTATATTAGTGTAAACCATGTAATTATTTGTATATTTTCGTATACTCAATTTGAAAGAAAGGAATTATAATTTCATATGAGAATTTGTTGCCCTATGCCAGTTGGTGGGCAGAGTTAAATTTTTATATTTTGTATATAAATGGGAAAACTGAAGTTAAAGGCTCAAGCATTCCAAGTTATTCACTGAATGCAAAAATTAGCAGCTGTAGAGTTGTGTACTCCCTTGTAAAGATGTTCGACAATCTGCAATATGTTCTTGACTGTGAAATAGACTATGGGCGAAAGATAGAATGATTCAAGCACTGCTTTTATCTGCACTACTGAAGGATACTACGTACCATCAGCAAGATGCACTTTCATCTTACTAGGTGTTTAATATGTAATGTGAATAATTTTAAAGTTTTCCACCAAATTCAACTAAAGCTTTGGCTGGAGGAGGAGCACAGTTTGGTCTTTGGTAAACACAGTACCTCATGGTTAACATACAAGTTTTGTGGATCCTCTAAATGTTGATCTCTCGACCATTGACAAACTTTTAAGCTTTTTGATAACTTCCCTCATCAATTTTCCCAATCATTGCAGCAGATTGAAATAATGAGCTGTGTGTTACATACTTGTCAGCTGATCTAAATTTCTGACAGTTCCACTTTGGAAGGTGGGAAAATTCTGTCAGTATTTCTGATCCTGCTTTCTGATGTATAGTTGTACTGTGGCAAGTATTGTCTGTTTCATTGTGGGTATTTTCCTGGATTTCTAAGATTGGTGATTGGATAATTAACTAAATGAACCTGCACTGAACCAAGATGCACACAGGGCCGATGAGACTTCCTTTCTAGTGAAAATTGCAGTTTTTAGTATAGCTAAGTCATATTGTACACAATGAGTGTTGACACTTTCATGTGTTTCCTCAATTATTGGTTTTTGTGTAAACCATTCCTGCATGCTAACTTTCATTTCACTCTCCCAAAACCTTTATCTTGATGATAGAGTCTGTGATCTCGTGCCACTTAGTCAGTTAGTTAATTGCAGTTATTATATTGCAGGTAGTGATTCATCCAGTTGTGATTTGGCTATAAACCTCAAAAGAGCCCTTAGTATGTTTGCACATGTACTCCAAATAGCTACCATTTACACTTGTATAAGTTTTTTTTTTTTGTTTTTAAATGCTAAAATCCTGTCCTTACAACCATTTTAGCCATTGGTGTATCTCAACTACAATGCAAGTTCTCATAGCTCAGTTAGAAACAAAGTATGAAGATGTTTACTCTTCTGATTTGAGGAAATTATTGATCCTGTGTCATCATTTTGGGTGCAGTGTATTTTGTGGACTACACAAATAGCTGTCTCTCCAGCTTCTGTACTATAACAGATACCTGAAAAGAATGTGTCATGTAGTCAAGTGATTTATATACTTTTTTTTTTGAAACATTTCATGTCCAGTGCTAATACATAACTGGAAATGGTAATTTTACCTAATGTTAAATGAGTAAACTCAAAAGCTGAACATTTATTTTATCCCTGCACAAGTCATTGGCAAATAATTAATGACTTTTTAAAAAATGCATTGTTAAATGAGAAGCTAGTACTTTCCAGAAGAAATGTTATCGTCCTTGATGTAAAGATATTTTGCTGCAACACTTGATATCTGTTCCTCTCGAACTGTTCTTATAAATTGGCAAATTTCAAAACCAAAAATAAAATTTAATTGGTCTCCCTGCTAATTGCACTTGTTTATTTTCAACAGATTCCATTCAGTGTTTTGTCTGGCAGTATCTGTTGCCTTTTTGATGGTTTCCAGTAATACATGGAGTGGCAAGGCTGGATCAGAAATTGATAATCTCTTGCCGCTCACCTTGCTGGGTTTATGTAGTCTCGCACTCCCCTATACGATATATAACTTTCACACAACATTGTGCATTTGGGTCCTTCAAAGTGTTGCAGAAAGCAGCAACAATTTGCTAACAAACTTCATAAAATCTGACTCAGTCAAGATGTTGTTCTAATCTATGCTATCTCTTGAACTTTATTAGATTTCCATTAAATGCATTTATGCTATTCACCTCACATTCTGCATTCAACTGTTCTTCCACTTTTCTATAATTTGTTAGATGCATTCGTGAGTATATTTGTAGCCCCTAGTTTTGGACTCCCTATGATAGCAATGTGGAAATATCAACTCTGCCTACAATGTCATTAAATCATTTGTGATTCTTAACTGCTATCCAATTAAAAACAATCGCGACATTGTGGATCTGGAGTCAGGTAGGCCAGATTGAGTAACAATGGCAGATTTCCTTCTCTGAAGGCCATAAGTCAACCAGATGGATTTTTACAATTGACATGGTAACTCAGTTGCTATTAGGCTAATTTTTAGTTCTAGATTTGTTTTGATGTTGAGTTACATTTCACTATCCCATGTCCCCAGAACATTAGCCTGGAGTAATGTTTTTCTAACCCAAACCCAGTGATGTTATTTATCACTATGCCATTGCTTTCCCTAATTGTTTCTCATATCTACAGATCTCCAATAGATTACTGTACAGTCTTGTTTGCTTTTTTTTTTCTAGACAAAAGAATTGAATTCTGATCAGCATTTTCTGACAATTATAACCTTTTAGATCTTGCACCGTCCTTAAATCAGTTTTTCCATGTCCTCACCAGTGTCTTTATACCCTCTTTGCAGATTTTTGTTTTATTCCTATGGCTAGAGAATGACTTGGGGTTTATTGAATGGATTGTCAACACCAACCACTTCAGCTGACTCAGTGACAACAAGGTGCAGGGCTGGATGCTGTGTTCATCCAGCCCTGCACCTTGTTGTCTCGGATTCTCCAGCATCTGCAGTTCCTACTATCTCAGCTGACTCAGTGTTGAGTGGGAGACAGAAATTGCTGAAAGAGCTCAGCAGGTCTGGCAGCATCTGTGAAGAAAAATCAAGTTAACGTTTTGGGTTGAGTGACCTTTCCTCAGAAAATTGTGAGAAAGGGTCACTCAACCCAAAACGTTAACACTGATTTCTCTCCACAGCTGCTGCTAGACCTGCTGAGCTCTTTCAGCAATTTCTATTTTTGTTTCTGATTTACAGCATCTGCAGTTCTTTCAGTTTTTACAATGTTGAATGGTTGTAATGCCACCAAGAATGAATATCTTGATCAGAATTAATGTCTACAGGCAATGGTCTGAGTTGGTTGGCCAATTTGACCTGTTTCTCATTTTTCCCCGTGTAGTAAGTGGTTAAAATCTTCAGTGATTCATTCTAGAGTGGTTGAGAGTTGTCCATTGAACAGTGAAGCCTGGGGCTTCACCAGTTGGGTCAGTTGCAGGTTGTGATTGATGTTTGCAGATCAACCAAGGGCTGTTATCTGTGTAGTGTGTTCTGGTAGAGATTATTGGATTGCAGATGAATTGAGTTTGCTTGAGATCATGTGTCTGCAGAGCTCTTCATTAGCTAATCAGCAGTGACCTTTTCAGAGAATTTTCCTTTGAAGACATCAGGAGGTTCAATGTGTGTCACCACATTCAACCTGTGTTAGCCTCAATGTTCCAGAGACAATCCTCAAGCTGTGGAAATCTACCACATTTGTGTGGCAGTTGCACATCTAGTTTGAACAGTAGTAATCTGGCTCTGCTAACCCCGTTGATACCTGACTCTTAGCTTCATCTTGGCCTCTGTGTTCTGCAGGTGATAGAATCTCTTCCAGAAACTTTCTTATATTGACCTTGTGTGTGACAAGTGTTGCCGGTAGGTCAATGTACAGTGGAGAGTGATGTCAAGGTATTTTAGTGTTGACTTGTGAGTGAGTGACCACCGAACTGAAGGTAAAGGGTTTATCTGGTCGTTAAATTGTTCAAGGTTCTGGTTGAAACAACAGTCTTTGGTTGAAGTCTTCATTTTCTGATGTAGGCTTCCTGGCTTGGCATGCCTGGGTCAAGGTCTCAGCAGATGGGAGGAACTGTGACTTGTTGAGCAAATAATAAGTAAGTGTCATCAAGTTCGGTATACATTTAATATAATGTGTTTGCTTTTCAGTTCTATTTCTCTCTCTCTCTCAACTTGATCCTCATCTCACTTAGAATCATAAAATTGAGGTTGGTTTGTTGTTTTGCAGACATTTCGTTACCATGCTTGGTAACCTCCTCAGTGCAGCCTCTGATGAAGCGTCAGTGTGTTTTCCCGCCTGGTTTTTAAACTCTGGGATCCATTGAGATGGATTGCCTCACTTCCAGTTTTCCTTCGTAGTGGAACGTATATGGGGTCGAGTTCAATGTGTTTATTAATAGCATGCTTTGTAGTGTGCCATCCTTCCAGGAATTCTCGTGCTTGTCTCTGCCTAGCCTGTCCCAGTCGAAGTCGTGGTTCTCCTTGTCCACGTGGATTGAGATGCGTGAGTATTGGTCGTGTCTTTTTGTAGCCAGTTGGTGTTCATGTACTCTTGTTGTTAGTTTTCTTCCTGTTTGTCCGATGTAGTGTTTCTCGCAGTCTCTGCAGGGGATTTTGTAGATGACATTGGTCCGGTCCATGGCAGGGAATGGGTCTTTAGTTCGGGTGAGCAGTTGTCGTAGGGTTGACGTGGGCTTGTGTGCCATTCTGATGCCCAGTGGTTGTAGGAGTCTTGTGTTGAGTTCCGACGTGTTCCTGATGTAGGGTAGTGTGATGAGTGTTTCGGAGCATGTAGAATCTTTCTGATGCTGTTCGTGTAGGCATCTCCTGACCCAGTTCTCTGGATATCCATTATCCTTGAACACTTGGAAGAGGTATTCTTCTTCCTCTT